GAAATAGTACAGAAAAATAGAGTTTTATTTTCTCTATCATTTCATATAAAAAGAAAATTTTCTCAAGCCTTCTATACGACAATAATGTACCTCCGCCACTACTTTTGGGTACCCCTAAGTAGATCAATCGAAGCTTTTCTTAATATAATATTAATCGAATAAAACTGAGAAATCTTTGAATTTCTTTTAGGTCCCAATGATATTCAAGTTCGTCTTATCTGCATTCCATATTTTGCTCAATCAAATTCATGTATTGCACTGAATTTACGTACACTTGAATGTTATGAAATATCATTTCAAAACGAAATACCACAAATAATTGAATGAGCAAAATAAAACAAACTGGCGCCTTATCTAGATATATACTAAATATTCATTTGTTATTTTTTGTACTTATGTTCATATTGTAAAGAAAACAAAGAAAAAAAACGAGATAAATAAATTTATGGATATTGACAAAAATAATAAAATATTTACAGAACTTTATACAAATATAAAACAACAAGCTGAAAAATCTTTAACAAATCTTGTTGAACATGCATATGAAATAGAAAATTTTCTAAAAAAGAATTTTTTTTCAAATAATGAAATAATCATTATGGAAAATTTGAATTCATCAAATCATCATTTGAATTTAATTATTCAACCTGTTCAAAATTATTTACGTGATTTTATTGAAATAGTTGAACATTTAACAATTTGGCTTGAATTAGAAATTCCATCTTATAGTGATATTAATGATTTTTGTATTATTGTACAGAATGAAATACTAGATGAAATAGCTTCAATGAAATCAAATTGTATTGCTTATATGAGTCAAATTGTAGATTATCGTGAACAACGTGCTTTAGCTAATAAAGAATTATTTAAACGACCACAATTTGATGATAATTATCATTTAATCTCTAATCTTGATTATCAATTATATAGAAATTTAAAATTAATGCTTATGGATATTAAATCTTATATTTTACGAATATGTAATATATTAACAAAAAATAAAGATTTATTTAATAGACAATCATTTCATCATCAACATGTTAATAATTATTTTTAAATAAAAACATTTGATTTAGGATTGTAAAAATTCATTAATAACAATGAATAATTGAAATAGATGTTTACCGATATAAAAACCTGATACTTTCAAATTCACATACATGTAGAAGCCGAAGACCGCTTACGGCTATTCAACTGAGGGTGTGAGGGTGGGGTGAAGGTATATTGGTATGCCTGTGATTGGTATCTGGGCGTGGTTGGAGTGGGACAGGTTTGGGCCGCTGTTGAAAGTGATGGTCTAAGGGCACACCCACATCTTCAATTGGAAGTTGACTAGTTGAAACGGCTTAACGACTTCTATACTACTGCTTAATAATGGATGTATAATGTTTCGTGATCTGAATGGATTTTGAACTATTTTTTGTGTGCATATGATAGCTTTAATCTCGTTCTGCAGAACTGTGTATTTCAGTCAATGGTCTACATATGTATTCAGAGATAGACAAGTCAAGTCTGACTTCAGTATACTTGGGAGTTTTTATTTTAAGCTTTGATTTGATTTAAATCTTAAAAACTGCTGACTTGCATATCTCTGATTTCATCCGAGAAAAGTAATACCGATGTTCAACTCAATGAAACATTGACAAGTCATCTTCTTGAAATGGAATATGCTAATTGAATAGGGATACAATTCTTCATCATAAAACACATCTTGTGAAAGAAGATTTCCTTTTTTGATACCTATTTGATTATTTCCATAGAGAAAATAAATATGACTATATAAGACTCGAAATTTTGAGGAAACGAACAATGGACGATAAAAAGTACGAAGCATATTAATACATCCATCACATGCATTTGATTGATCCTTTGTATAATTCGTCCGACAGGGGATTTCAGATAGACAATCGAATCTCCTCGGATATCTTTCGAAAATGGATGAATTTTGTCAGATCCAATAAGGTCTATACCTAATTCAGTGATATTGTTGCCACAGGATTTTGACAGTTGGATTCGATCACCGGAAAGTGTTGCAGTGATATGAAAACCCGATGAGATCTTATCGGATGACTTTCACCCTAGCAGATAAATAAAATAAATTTCAATTTTTCATTAGAAGAGACCAAAAGGCTTGTAAGTTTCAGAAAATCTCTATCTTCGAATGAATCATCTCCTAAGTGATCACCCCGTTATTCTGAAAGATTTTCGATAGTTCCGACAGTGTTCATATTAGAGAGATTTTACTGTAATAATATTATCAATGAAAAACTGTTCAAGAATACATTGAAAAACATTATGGCATCGGTATTCATGTGTATCACATTCGTGTATTTCCAATTCGTAGCAATGTTGTTCGTCAACTTCTCCATTCACAAACAATCGATTTTCACGTCAATCAAGACACAACATAGATATGATGAGCTACGTTGACAATTCATATGAGCATATAATAAGTATAATTCGTAATTCGAAGAATATCGTTTACTATTCAATCATAATATTTCATTAAAAATATATTATCAAAAATTTGTTGAAAGTCAATATTAAAATTAGAGCTATATTTACGCATTGAACCAAACGATGATTATGAACAATTGAAGAAAACTATTTCAGATAAAAACTTATCCTCTCGTTTTTTTCAAATATGTTTGATAAAGCTCGATTAGATCAATCGTATAATTGAATACGGGTGATTCCATTCTTATCCAAATCTTTGAAAATCATATGAAACGTTGTATTAACAATAGATATCAATAATATATAGATTCCAATAGAAAAGTATGATATAAAAGTAATTCCCATTTGATTTAAAGAGTATAATCGATAAGGTATTTTGTACTTCTGATATTATTACTATCACATTCAATTAAATTACTCAGTTGTGTTCAGTGTTTCATGTTGGTTATGAATATGAAGTCATCTTTTTGATTCGGATGAACATAAAATAGATCGTATTCTACCTATGGATTAGGATACATAGCAATGGACATCACTCATCAACATTTCTGAACTGACCTGACTTTTGTTATCAGACTTTATATCATTTCAGTTATACTTTGAACGAGGCGCAATTTTAAGAGCTTTCAAAAAATGATCAAAATTCATTTTGAGATAAGATGATCTAGTGTGGTTAGTGATACAATATTAGAGAATCTCCATTTTAGTCAATCATCGTTTTCACCCATATATTGGCATTATAAATTAATGAAATGTGTTGTAGAAATCAATTAGTTAGTCAATTTTGTAGAAAAAAAAATTCTGCATCTTTTGAGACGTCTTAGAACTTGAAAATAGGAGCGAGAGCAGAGAAAAATGCAAAATACTAA